ATATATATGTATGATGTATCAGATTTTCTTTTTAGTTGAAAATATACAGAGACTTCTTCTCTTACTATTTCCTCGGATTTTCACTTTCTCTATTACAACTTCGACTCACTCGTTGTGACCTCCATTAATGGAGGTTGAGTTGTGACTGAATTCAGCTCAACTCACATGGTATCAGAGCAATCGATACTGGTTGCTTCTTAGCTGAATAATTCTGTGTTTGTGTGGTTCGAATTCTCGCTCAAAGCCCAGAGATAGCGGAGGAGAAAATTGATCACACTCATCCTTTATTTCTGCACCCTTCTGATACGCCGAGCTCGATTTTGATTCCAATTCAACTCACCGGATCTGAAAACTATGGATTGTGGCAAAGGACAATGCGAATAGCTCTTCAAGCTAAGCGAAAACTAGGTTTTGTAACTGGTAAGTGTAAGAAGGAGACCTTTAAGAAGGAATTGCATGAGGAATGAGAGACATGTAATGCGATTGTGCTCTCATGGATCATGAACACTGTATCAACAAACCTAGTTAGTGGAATAGCTTATGCATCGGATGCACACCTAGTTTGGGAAGACTTGAAGGAGAGATTTGATAAGGTGAATCGAGTTTGAATTTTTCAATTGCACAGAGAAATTGCAACAATTTCGCAGGGAACTGATTTTGTGGACTCATATTTCACTAGACTGAAGGAGATGTGGTCGGAGTATGATGCCCTAGTTCCTACACCTGGATGTGATTGTGCTAAATCTAAGGATTACATTGAGCACCTTCATCGTCAAAGGCTGCTTCAATTTCTCAGTGGTCTGAATGAGACTTATGAACAAGCAAGGAGACAGATTTTGATGAAAACTTTTGAACCAACCTTGAATCAAGCTTATGCGTTGATAATTGAGGATGAAAGCCAAAGGTCTAATCCATACCCAGCCTTGGGAGTCAGAAGAGATCCTATTGCTATGCAGGCTGGACGAGGACAAGGTTACAAAGGAAAAAAGCCATTCACGAAGTGTGACTATTGTAAGATGACTGGTCATTTGAAGGAAAATTGCTACAAGTTGATAGGATATCCTGCAGACTTCAATGCTAAAAGGAAGGTTGTAGCCAATTATGCAACTGGTAATGCTGAGCATGAGGAACATCCACATGTAGCTGGTGGAAAGACAAACAGTGATGATTCTGCAGGAGGCCATTTCTTTACTGAGAGTCAATACAAACAGATTCTGGATATGCTGAATAAGGATACCAGAGTTCCACAAGTCAAACATGGTAGGCATTGCTACTGCATTAATGACTGAAAATCCTTGTAGAGAATGGATAGTTGATTCAGGTGCAACTCATCACATAGCAGCTTCCCTAGATATATTGCATTATAAGACTGAATTGAAAGTTGGTAATGATCAAGTTCATTTGCCTACTGGTGAGAAGACAAATATATCTCATATTGGTAGTGCAACATTTCTTCATGATATGGAGATTAAGAATGTGTTATATGTTCCTGATTTCAAGTTTAATTTGTTGTCTGTGTCAAAACTCACAAAGGAAGTCAGATGCTCTGTCCACCTTTACCCTGACTTCTGTATGTTTCAGGACCTTTGGAGTGGCAGGGTGAGGAGGATTGGTAAGGAAAAGGGAGGTCTGTATGTGGTGAAGGATGAGCACATTGCTAACAGTCTGAGTTAAGCATCAGTGGCAACAGTTCAGAAACCAGCAGTAGATGGCATTCTTTGGCACAAAAGATTAGGTCACACCTCTGTTAGTACAATGAAAAACATAGATTTCTTACAACTTAAAGATCTAGATGATAATAAGGACTGTTGTGTATGTCCATTGGCTAAACAAAGCAGGTTAGTTTTTCCTAGAAGTGTTTCAAGAAGTAGGAGTCCTTTACAGCTTCTACACATGGATGTTTGGGGACCATGCAAGTTTCCCACACATGATAGGAAGCACTATTTTCTAACAGTTGTGGATGATTGTTCCAGGTATACCTGGGTACATTTACTACAATTGAAAAGTGATGTAATAGTTGTGTTACAAAAATTTCCCTCTATGCTAAGAACACAATTTGATGTAGCTGTTAAAACTATTAGAACTGATAATGGAGGAGAGTTCTTTAGCAAGCAGTGCATTGATTTGTTTGAACATTATGGCATTGTACATCAAAGTAGCTGTGCATACACTCCCCAACAGAATGGGGTGGTTGAGAGAAAACATAGACATATACTAGATATAGCAAGGGCCCTAAAATTTTAGGCAGCTGTACCAACCAAGTACTGGGGAGAATGTATAGTTACTGTTGTTTACATCATAAATAGGCTGCCTTCTATTATTTTACAAGGCGGATCACCATATGAACTTCTACACCATTAGAAGCCTTCTCTTGAGCATTTAAGAGTCTTTGGATGCCTGTGCTATGCTACAACTATGCAACATGACAACAAGTTCTCAGCAAGAGCCAAATCTGCTGTACACATGGGGTATTCAGATACACAAAAGGGCTACAGGCTCTTGGACCTTGCAACTAATCATTTTTTTGTTTGCAGGGATGTAGTTTTCAAAGAGCATATTTTTCCATTTGCTGAGTCCTCCTCATTGCATCCTGTTAATGCTCCTGCTAGGGGGAGTGCACCAATTGAGCATGAGCATGAACCATTATAGGAGCATGATGCTGGAAACCATACATCTGAAGCATTGTAGACACCTATGGCAGATAATGTACTTGAACCTGAACTGGATACAACTACTGCAATCCATGAAGTTCATGATCATGAAGATGGTGAGACCGATGCTGTTTATGAAGGTGATAACATTGCTGATGCTGTAGTATCTGAAGAAACTGCAGAAACCTTTGAACAAACCCAAGCATCTGAACCTCATCAGGATCCACATGATGAACTTGCAGAAAATGGAATCAGAAATCAAGAACCAAGAAGATCTGGCAGAAATGTCAAAGAACCCATATGGATGCAAGACTATGTTACCAAGAAAAAGGCACATAATGTAGCCTTATATCCCATTTCAGACTACTTGTGTTATGATCAACTTTCACAGGCATGCAGAAGTTTTGTAGCAAAGGTCTCAGCACTCACAGAACCACAGAACTTTGCAGAAGCATTAGGAGACAAGAGATGGATTGAGGCAATGAAGCAAGAAATCAAAGCATTGGAGGACAAGAGAACATGGGAGATAGTAGACTTGCCCAAGGGAAAGAACACAATTGGGTCAAATTGGGTGTATAAAATCAAATACAAAGCTAATGGAGATGTGGAAAGGTTCAAGGCTAGGCTAGTAGCAAAAGGCTATAGCCAAAAGGAAGGGTTAGATTACCATGAGATCTTTTCACCAGTTGCCAAATGGTAACTGTAAGGTCAGTTATTGCAGTAGCAGCATCAAAAGGGTGGAACATGTATCAAATGGATGTATATAATGCTTTCCTGCAGGGGGACTTATATGAAGAAGTGTACATGGAGATGCCTCAAGGTTTTAAGAGACAGGGGGAGACTAAAGTATGCAAGCTAGTGAAATTATTATATGGACTGAAGCAAGCTTCAAGACAGTGGAACATCAAACTTACAGAAGCACTCATTGAGGCAGGATATAAGCAAAGTTTATATGACTACTCACTGTTTACCAAGAGGAGAAGAGCAGATTTTGTGGTTGTGCTTGTATATGTGGATGATTTGCTCATCACAGGAAACAATGAGCAATTTATCCAGGAAACTAAAGTTGTTCTGAATCAAAAGTTTAAGATGAAAGATTTGGGAGAATTAAAATACTTCTTGGGAATTGAAGTCATGAGATCCAACAAAGGGATCTTATTAAATCAGAGGAAGTATGCCCTGTAGTTGATTTCTAATTTGGGGTTAGGGGCTGCTAAACCAGTGGCTACTCCAATAGACATGAATCAAAAATTCACTTCAGTTGAGTTTGATAAACATGTTGGAGTGTCTGGAGATGAGTTGATGGAAGATGTCACAGGCTATCAGAGGTTGATTGGAAGGTTAATATATCTGACAATCACAAGACCAGATATAGTGTTTGCTGTCCAAACACTCAGTCAGTTTATGCAGTCACCCAAACAATCTCACTGGGAAGCAGCATTAAGAGTTGTGAAATACCTCAAACTGAATCCAGGAATGGGGATTCTGCTAAGCAGCAAAGGTGGAAACAGTTTAACTTGTTACTGTGATGCAGACTGTGCTGCATGTCCTAATACCAGAAGGTCAGTAACTGGTTTCCTTGTGAAATATGGGGATTCATTGGTCTCATGGAAGTCTAAGAAACAGCAGACAGTGTCAAGAAGCTCAGCAGAAGCAGAGTATAGAAGTCTTGCTGTATAATATGGTTGCTTGGGCTGTTTGCAGAGCTTGGGATTCCTATTGAGCAGCCTGTGAGTGTGTTCTGTGATAGTAAGGCAGCTCTACATATTGCAGCCAATCCCATATTTCATGAAAGAATAAAGCATATAGAGATTGACTGTCACTTTATAAGAGACAAGATCAAAGATAGTAAGATTAAAACCTATCATGTAGGGACAAAGGAGCAGCAGGCAGATTTACTTACTAAAGGACTTGGGAGAATACAACATGAGTATTTGTTGAGCAAGCTTGGAGTGCTTAACATTCTACACCCTCCAGCTTGAAGGGGAGTGTGAAAGAATCTGTATGAATGACAGCTGGACAAGTTAGTGGAGGCAGTCATCCAGCTGTCACTAGTTAGTTAGAGTGATTGAGGTGATTAGCACTAATTAGCTGAGGGGTTAAGTTAGTGGAAGATATACATATATATATATGTATGATGTATCAGATTTTCTTTTTAGTTGAAAATATACAGAGACTTCTTCTCTCACTATTTCCTCTGATTTTCACTTTCTCTGTTACAACTTCGACTCACTCGTTGTGACCTCCATTAATGGAGGTTGAGCTGTGACTGAATTCATCTCAACTCACAGAAACTACCCACGACTTTCAGAGTCAAGGGGACTCCAGCAGTATGCTTTATCACTTGAGCTAGAGATCCTCAAATTCCTTTGTAGGAATGTTTTTATTGAAAGCATATTGTTTAAAGAGTTGTAAACTTTCATCTGCACTTAATGTTCTCATTCTGTATATCTTTTCCACTTCATGCCTAACAAGTGAATGTTTGTTTTTAGTTGTTATGATGATTCTACTTCCAGGACCGAACCTTTCGCGTTCCCCAGCTAAAGCGTCTAATTGATCTATGTGATCAACATCATCAAGAACAAGAAGAACCTTTTTGTATCGTAGTCTTTGTTTTTGCATGTTAACTCCTTCAAATAAATTGTTCATGATCCTTAGATCTTTTATAACAAGGATCACGGAAAGAAGTATCTCTTGCAATCGTTCTAGGCCTTGTTTTGTTGAACGGTCTCTTACCTCATGAAGAAAACATGCACCTTCAAATTGACTCGAAATGTTATCATAAATGACTCTTGCTAAAGTTGTCTTTCCCAATCCGCTCATTCCCAATATTCCAACAAAGCGAACTCCACCAGACCAGACCTAAAGCATTTTGTATAGTTTCTGCATTTGTGACTCCATTCCAACTAGATTTTCAGCATTGCTTTCGTGTCTCTGCTGACCACCCAACTTAGCCATTATATCTTCCACAATTTCCTCTATAACTTTAGCCTCGTGCCTGAATACACCACAAAGAATGTCTCAAGATTCTGTTTTGGCATAGTAAAAACTTCAATTATCAAAATACCTTAGTATGTACAATAAAGTGGTTTAAAACAGTTTTCTGACATTACTAAAACCCGTCCATTTCAAAGAGAGTAGTACTCCACACAATGACATAAAAGGTTGAATTCCATGATTTGTAGCATGGATCCAGTCCTAGTGAGGATTTCATATGCCCATTTACAATTTGAATAGAAATAAATGACCTTACAACAATCTCGTGTGTTATTTTTACATTTTCTCTCCTATAAGTAACTGTTGAGTCTCACATCGACCATTAAGTGATGAAAAGGCCTCTTTATATGATCATGGGCAATACGATCACCTCATGAACAGCTTTTGAGTTGAGTTTAGCTCAAGGTGGTAGTGGCTTTTGTGATGGAAAATAGAAACGAACCAAAGTATTTAGAGAGTAACATTGAGATCGGTTTTATGATTGCTAATTGCTTCTCCATAGTTGGATTTTTGTTTCCTCACTGTTGATGGATCTACGTCGTAGAAGACCGGAAGCACAATTTGTCCTTTTTGTTTGTTGCATTCCATGATCTTCATTAATTCATCTAAACACCATGTTGAATTAGCATAGTTTTTGGAGAATATGATCAAAGCTATGCGCGGCACTTCAATAGCTCTCATAAGATCAGGTGAAATCGACTTGCCTCTTTCTAGATTCTCATCATCTTTGAAGGTATGAATACCCTTTTGCTGCAGGGCAACATAGAGATGGTCGACAAACGTATTGCGTACATCTTCACCTCTAAAACTTAAGAAAACATCATAAATCCACCGCCAAGTATGGTCAAGGGAAAGAGAAGAAAAAGTAGAGGAAGAAGAAGGAAGCAAAGAGCTCTTTTGCATCATTATTGTGTTCCTGTACTTAGAAATTAATTGACCAACTACTTGTTTGTCACAATGCTACTTACTACTTAGCACTCTGGTTAACTAATGGAGTACCTAATTAGCAATGTTAGAAATATGCTTTAGAAGCTGTTCTCAGTAAAATTATTTTACTGTTTCAGCTTTAGAGTTATTTACTGCAGTAATTTAGTTTGAATTTGAAATAATTTTGAACTAGTCTTTAGGAGTGAACTAGTCTCTAGGAGTTTGTTATTTTCAGCAGATTTTGTGCTGATTTTTAGGTCTTTTAAATTAGTATTTCTCTTATAAATTGTAGTCTAAAATGCAGTAAAATAATATAGAATTTTCAGCTTCAGTTCCTTTTACATCTATTCCAGTATACTCTTTTTATTTTCTTGTCATCTTCCCCAGTTATTTCCCTTAATTTCTTTTATCAAGAACAAACAATTGGTTTCAGAGCCATTTTCTTAAGGGACCTAAGTAAACCTTTTCTTGAGTGAGATGGAGACTGAAACGAGTTTTTCTCAATTGGCTCCTCCAGTCTTTGATGGTGAAAATTACCAATTGTGGGCAGTAAGAATGGAGACTTACTTGGAGGCTTTAGATCTTTGGGAGGCCGTGGAAGAGGATTATGATGTTCTTCCGCTGCCTAACAATCCCACAGTGGCCCAGATCAAGAGTCACAAGGAAAAGAAAACCAGGAAATCAAAGGCGAAAGCAACTTTGTTTGCTGGTGTGTCTGCAACAATTTTCACGAGAGTTATGACTCTCAAATCAGCAAAAGAAATCTGGGATTATCTGAAGGGAGAATATACAGGAGATGAAAGAATTCGAGGCATGAAGGTGCTGAATTTAATAAGGGAATTCGAGTTGCAGAAAATGAAAGAATCTGAGACCGTCAAAGAATACTCAGATCGGTTGCTTGGCATTATTAACAAGCTAAGGTTGCTTGGCACTAAATTTAAAGATTCAAGAATTGTTGAAAATATTCTTGTTACGGTGCCTGAAAAATATGAAGTATCCATAACTACCTTAGAAAATACAAAGGATCTATCCAAGATTACCTTGGCAGAATTGTTAAATACATTGCAGGCACAAGAGCAAAGGAGGCTTATGAGGCAAGATGGTATGGTTGAAGAAGCCTTGGCAGCCAACCACAGAACTCAAAGCAAGAGTAATAATGCAAAGAAAAATTACCCACCTTGTCAGCACTGTGGCAAAAAAGGTCATCCACCGTTCAAATGTTGGAAGAGGCCAGATGCAAAGTGCAAAATTTGCAACCAACTTGGTCATGAAGCTGTAATTTGCAAAGGCAAATATCAAAAGCATGAAGTAGATGCCCAAGTCGCCAATGAAGAAGAAGAAGATCACTTGTTTGTGGCAACTATTCTTTCAATAAAAAAAAATCTCATTTTTGGTTGATTGATAGTGGCTGTACAAACCACATGACATATGACAGAAATCTTTTCAAAGAGTTCACGTCTATGGGAAATAAGAAAGTCAGAATTGGGAATGGTGATTATATTCTTTCTAAGGGAAAAGGAACTGTTGCAATCCCAACAAAGTCAGGTACTAAGAATATTTCAGATGTTCTTTATGTTCCTGATATTGATCAGAATTTATTAAGTGTTGGACAACTAATGAAAAAAGGATTTAAAGTATCCTTTGAGGATAAATATTATTTCATTTATGATGCAACTGGACTTGAGATTTTAAGGGTTAAAATGAGAGGTAAAAACTTCTCATTAGATCCAACCGAAGATGAAGAATGGAGCCCAAAGAATCTACAAAGTGCAGAAAATCCTCCAAAAGAGGACATATGTGAAAATGAGACAAAGAAGTTGTCAATATTTCAGAAAAACAAAATTTGGAAGAAAGTTGACAAGCCTCAAGGCAAAATGCAAATGCGGAAGAAAGTTGACAAGCCTCAAGTCAAAATGAAGCCGAAAAAAGAGCCAACTTATTTCATTGACAATCATGAGATGCAGCAAAATAGAAAATTGAACTCAATTTACTGTAAGTCCAAAGATCAGTTGGCAGATTTACGTACAAAGTCGCTTCCAGTTAAAGGTTTACAAGGCACAAATTCAAAATTTGCAGCTTCAAAAGCAAGGAGGAGTGTTAGAAATATGCTTTAGAAGCGACTCTTAGTAAAATTATTTTACTGTTTCAGCTTTAGAGTTATTTACTGCAGTAATTTAGTTTGAATTTGAAATAATTTTGAACTAGTCTTTAGGAGTGAACTAGTCTCTAGGAGTTTGTTATTTTCAGCAGATTTTGTGCTGATTTTTAGGTCTTTTGAATTAGTATTTCTCTTATAAATTATAGTCCAAAATGCAGTAAAATAATATAGAATTTTCAGCTTCAGTTCCTTTTACATCTATTCCAGTATACTCTTTTTATTTTCTTGTCATCTCCCCCAGTTATTTCTCTTAATTTCTTTTATCAAGAACCAACAAGCAGCAACTTGTATTTATGCAGAGGTGTCTTCACTCTTCACTATTATAATTAAGAACGATAAAACGTGTGAAAGATCAATATCCTAATATATCATCATTTTCCAGGAAAGTGTATTGAGGAAAAAACTGAGAAAGTCCTCCAACTCAACCAGCTACAAATGAATTTTCAAAGAAAGCAGCGTGTATGAATCTTCTACTAACCTTCTGTAGTGATTGAATATATTAACTCTGTATTTCGGGGATACTTACTCTCTAATATTCTAAGCTTCTATGCACTGATACGGGTTTGCGATAATATTTAATACTAGTATGATATCATTTAATAGACCCCTGTGGTCCGGCCCTTCCCCGTACCCCGCGCATAGCGGGAGCTTAGTGCACCGGGCTGCCCTAGTATGATATCATTGAAGGAAGCAATATTGCAGTATTGTTTAATATGACTTCATTGACGTCGGCAATTTTCAATTGACTATCTCTTTTTTATTCACAATAAGATTTCCCCTTACAAAATGAAATAAGCGCCCTGGTAAGAGGGCGTCATTGATGACGAGATAAATGAATAAATATCTTATCTATAGAAATTTCACACGGCGGAAATGATTAAAAAGAACACAATTTTTCTAATCAGTAAATATAAAAAACATCAGTTTCAGTCTCAGGATGGAGAAACAATACAACTATGTGAGAAAGACAGTAGTGCTTGCAACAAAATTTCTTATAAATTCTGTAGGGAGCCTTATGTCTTCGGCCTGATACTAGCTGGATTTGTTGACTTTAAAATAGAGGTCCGTTCCCGTATGGACCCAAATGCTATATTGTCCATGCTCCAGTTAGCGGTCTGGGCGTGCGAGGGGGTGTTAGAGTGGGTTAGAGTTCCACATTGGCCGGGGAAATGGACTGATGGTCTTCTTATATGGACTTGGGCAATCCTCCCCTCATGATGTAGCTTTGATAGATCCTCGTCTCGGGGGGGGGGGGGGGGTACTAGTC